TGGGCCTTCTTGTTGTTTTGTTGATAGTTTCCTTTGCTGTGCAAAAGCTTTTTATTTTCATGTAGTCCCATTTGTTTATTTTCTCTTTAGTTTCCATTGCCCGAGGAGCAGTATCAGAGAAGAAATTCCTTTGGCATATGTTTGCAGTTTCGCTGCCTGTGGATTCCTTTTATGGTTTCATGGTTTCCCGTCTTACGTTTAAGTCCTTTATCCATTTTTTAAGTATATTTTATTGATTTTTTATAGAGGGGGATAGAGAGAGAGTTAGAAACATCAATGAGAGAGAAACATTGATCAGCTGCCTCCTGCACACTTCCTACTTATGGTTTCCCATCTTACGTTTAAGTCTTTTATCCATTTTGAGTTTATTTTTGTGTATGGTGTGAGTTGGTGGTCTAATTTCATCTTTTTGCATGTATCTGTCCAATTTTCCCAATACCATTTATTGAAGAGACTGTCTTGACTCCATTGCATGCTTTTGCCTCCTTTGTCAAATATTAATTGAGGGTAATGGCTTGGGTCTATTTCTGGGTTCTCTGTTCTGTTCCATTTATCTATGTCTGTTCTTGTGCCAGTATCAGGCAGTTTTGAGAACCGTGGCTTGGTAATAGAGCCTGATATCTGGCATTGAGAACCCACCTACTTTGTTCTTCTTTCTCAGGATTGCTGCAGCTATTCAGGCTTTTTTTTTTAATCCAGATGAATTTTTGGAGAGTTCATTCTAGGTCTGTGAAATATGCCGTTGGTATTTTAATGGAGAGTGCATTGAATCTATAGATTGCTTTGGGTAGTATGGACATTTATCTGGTATTCTGCATGGCCGTTGTAATGCAAACTGGAGCCCAGACTACTCTCAGCATAGAAAACCATCTCTCTTGAAAATCCAATTTCATAAGATATTTGGGCAAGGCTAAACTTCTGAGATCTGGAAACTGTGACTATTCTTATGGCCAAGGACAACTAAATTTCTTAGAAAATTAAAGAATAAATTATTTTTTTTTTGCTCGTTTTGCATGCCAGTAATGGGTCTGGGCATGCATGGATAGAAAATGAGACTTAATGTCTACCCAAAGGGTTTAGAGCCTGAATTAGCCTCCAGATGGTAAAAAGCTGGGGCGGAGATGTCTTGGAAGCTCTCCAAGGCTTGGTTCTGAGGACAAATATTATTGGCTGCAGCAATTAAGACAAGTTTTAGGCAGCTTACCATGGGAAACAGGAAGAGCAAAACCAGTGGAATTTATGCCACCATGTGGAATATGGGGCTGTTATTTAATACCATGCGTTGTCTCAGCATTCTGTACTCATGTTATTCTTACAGGTGTTTTCTGTCATTCCTGGGTGTGTTGATGGTCACAAGAAACCGAGAGAAGGAACATCTGCCACAGTCTTACATCGATTTGGGGAATATTCCCGGTAAAACTGTATATTCTTTCATTTACAAGAGAAAATGTTATCCTCATAAATTAATAGCTGCTGGTATGATTTTGGGTGTTAAATTCATAGAAAACATATTTTCAAAACATAAGCACTTAATGATAATACCAGAGGTGATGTTTTAACTGTGCTAATACTCATCTTTATTGGCTGCAGCAATTAAGACAAGTTTTAGGCAGCTTACCATGGGAAACAGGAAGAGCAAAACCAGTGGAATTTATGCCACCATGTGGAATATGGGGCTGTTATTTAATACCATGCGTTGTCTCAGCATTCTGTACTCATGTTATTCTTACAGGTGTTTTCTGTCATTCCTGGGTGTGTTGATGGTCACAAGAAACCGAGAGAAGGAACATCTGCCACAGTCTTACATTGATTTGGGGAATATTCCTGGTAAAACTATATTCTTTCATTTATAAGAGAAAATGTTATCCTCTTAAATTCATAGAAAACATTATTTTCAAAACATAAGCACTTAATGATAATACCAGAGGTGATGTTTTAACTGTGCTAATACTCATCTATTTGAATGTCAGGTTTGCACAGAACACGGGCTCTGACCCTGTTCTCTTGATTTGGGTGATATGGCAGATTTCCTCTGTGAGTTTCCTTAAATTGGAAAAGGGGCCCTGGCCGGTTTGGCTCAGTGGATAGAGCGTCGGCCTGCGGACTGAAGGGTCCCAGGTTCGATTCCGGTCAAGGGCATGTACCTTGGTTGCGGGCACATTCCCAGTGGGGGGCGTGCAGGAGGCAGCTGATCGATGTTTCTCTCTCATCGATGTTTCTAACTCTCTATCCCTCTCCCTTCCTCTCTGTAAAAAATCAATAAGATATATTTTTTTTTAAAAATTGGAAAAGGGGAGGAGAGGAACAGGGAAGGGCTCCTAGCAGCCGCCCCGGTGCTCGGAGGGCCTTTGAGGGACAGTGAAAGGCAGAGGCCAGGCCGCTGAGGAACATCGTCCCTGAGGAAGGCGGCCTGTGCACTGTGAGGCCAAGAGTAACGTTCTCCCCAGACACCTGAACACGAGTAGCTTCTTCCCCTCCTCCCCTCATTCATCCTGGTCCCTTTGACATGCCTCATCTTTCCAGGCAGTTCCCTACTTCCACTGAGAATCACTCGCTTTAGTCATGCAGACCACAGAAGCAATGTCCAGAACAAAGGAAACACTCCCCTGTGTCCTCCCCTCCATCCTCAACAGTCTCCAGCTTTGCTAGGGTTTAGGGCAGTGACGGCGAACCTTTTGAGCTCGGCATATCAGCATTAACTCTGGTGCCGTGTCACATATAGAAATTTTTTGATCTTTGCAACCATAGTAAAACAAAGGCTTATATTTTTGATATTTATTTTATATATTTAAATGCCATTTAACAAAGAAAAATCAACCCAAAAAATGAGTTCGCGTGTCACCTCTGACACGCGTGTCATAGGTTCGCCATCACTGGTTTAGGGTGACCTATGGGTTCCTAGACAGGAGTCATGGTGTCCTCACAGGTTCCTCCACCATCCTGTTAGGACCAGGCCTTTGAAGCACAAACCATTAACGCCTCGTCCGCACAACTGAGAAAACGTGGCCCCGTGAATTCTGTGCTCTGTTTCCCACGTGAGCCATCTGATCGGCTAAGAGCGTTCAGTGCAAGAATTAAGAACTGGCGTTCGTGGCAAAGTGTGCATTAGGGCGGTGACCTGTATGGTTAGAGGTTTGGTAGGAAATGAAGTTCACTTATTTCCAACTCTTTTTCATTTCACAAAGCCCCGTGCATAGGATCAGTGGCCTTTAGAAGCCACTCTGAAAGGCTGCCTTTCTGTGTAGTCATGTGCATTAGGCTCAACATAAAAGGAGACAGGGCTCCGGGGAGAAAGCTCTGGAGATGAGGGAATGCAATGTGTTAACCTCCCGGCCGACCCGGGCTGGTCTCCGTGCCCAGCGTGGCAGCCCCTGCGGGTGGGGAGACTGCCCTCTCCCCTGGGCAGTGCTGACCACATAGCGAGGGGCATGCAGTGCCCAGGGCCTTTCCTCCGCTGGCGTTTTCCTCTTCTGTTTAGAGCAGTGGTTCTCAACCTTGGCTGCACATTAGAATCAATTGGGGTGCCATAACCGGTTTGGCTCAGTGGGTAGAGCATCGGCCTGCGGACTGAAAGGTCCCAGGTTCGATTCCGGTCAAGGGCATGTACCTTGGTTGCAGGCGCATCCCCAGTGGGAGGTGTGCAGGAGGCAGCTGATCGATGTTTCTCTCTCATCTATGTTTCTAGCTCTCTATCCCTCTTCCTTCCTCTCTGTAAAAAATCAACCAGTGGTTCTCAACCTTGGCTTCACATTAGAATCACCTGGGAATCTTTTTAAAATCCTGATTTCTGGGCCTCATCCTCCAGAAATTGTTTCTTTGTTACTAATGTTGTGGCCCCACCCCATAACAAAGAAACAGAATTTCCAGAGGATGAGGCCCAGAAATCAGGATTTTAAAAAGATTCCCAGGTGATTCTAATGTGAAGCCAAGGTTGAGAACCACTGGTTTAGAGGGTGACCACCTAGTATAAAAAGGGGAATAAAATGTGGCCTTGATAGAGGAGAAATTACTAAGACTTAGACTTCGCTAAGAGCTCGAACAATTTCTGTGTGATTATTATCTCCGCAGGGAAACAGACGTTGGATAAAATACAACCAGATTCAAACGGTTTATCCCGTGGAACTTTGCCTGATGGAAGTGACTCAACAAAGAGCCAAAGTGGAGAGAAGAAAGAGGTCTGAAGTGCCGAGAGCGATGGCTGTGGGCCTGTTACTCGATCCCACCTTCTTAAAAAGCTGCACATGTTCCATTTGTGTCAGCAGCTATTTATCGCTGACATGTGCTCGCGTGCGTTCCAGTTCTCTGCCCACCTCCATCCCGTGGACACTCGGCCCCCCTGCGCTCTGACAGTCTAATGTTCGCATGGAATGTAACTTGAAGTGCCCCCCACCCCCGGGGCTCTCCCTAGCGAGCCTCTGACCGCCTGGACCTTGATGAGAGCCTGGCTGCCCGAGCAGAACTGCCACGCAGAAACGGGCCCGCGATCTGGCCGCTGCTCCCAGCATCCGGGAGTGCCGGCTGCTTTGCTTTAAAGAGACACTTTCCCCCGCAGCCTGACTCCTGGAACACAGGTTTGAGAGCAATCACTTTTCTTAGACGCCCCATAAAGGTCTCACCTTTCTGTTCTTAAATAAGAACAAGGAGTCATCTTTCTGAAAACCAGCCCTACTATGCCCCTCCTTTAAACATGAAGGGTGCCTTTAAGTTCGAATTTACAAGTGGCATTCTGAGATGGAACAGACCAAAACTAAAGATCTTGCCGGGTTCTTAAGCAAGGAAAAAAAAAAACTTAAGAACTAGGACCAGTTTTTTAAATAACAATACAGAACGGTGACGTTTCCTTCGGCTATTAAGATCCTACTACACTTGAATTGAAACGGAAGAAAAAACTTCATATTCTATGCCTTCATTTGGCTTAGCTGTTATAATTTATCATGTGGGTTTATATGTTGTAACTCTTAACACGTCTCAAAAAAAATCATATTTAAATTCCTGGTGATGTTCGCACTAACACGGCGTTTCTCCCCTACGTCATTATTTCAAGCTTTATAAATTCGCCCGGGTAAAAGGAACAGTTACAGAACGGGGTCACAGCCATTTAAATCCTAGACAAAGCACACAGCCAGGGGGTCCATCTGAGTCTAGAGAGGAAGGCCAGGGCTCCTGTCCCCTGGAGGGCTTTTCTGTTGCAACTAATCACAACACAACTAAGATCACATACACAGGCAGCGTCCATATCAGTTACTTATGAATCTACCTAACATTTAAACGAGGAGAAAAGAGTTAGCCTTCATTGTAACCAACATCAAATAAGAAGCCCTATCCTTCAGGACATTTCAGAACCTTCAGGTCACCTCTGACATGTCAGGACAGCGAGGTTCCAGCCACTTGTCTTGCCTTTGTGCAGCTTGGTTAATGCAGCCCTATGGAGACCGGCTTTCATGGCTGCAGGTCTTTGATCTGTGTTCTTGGTCAGACCCTGCACTCCTGACCAGACCAACCAAACCTGGCCACAAAGGCAAGATTCAAATCTATCGCCAACGTGTGCATAATAACCTAGAGCCCATGCCTGGCTGTTGAACTCCTGCCATTGTGGAAAGTGCCCTGTTAATTCGAATAAAACAGTCGTAATTTTATGGCATGTTTTACTGAATTGGTCCAGCGTGTTGGCACTGGAAGGCTCGGCTCAGAAATGTGTCTGGTGTCTTAACCTACAGACTTCTGGTGACTCTTAAAACTGGTTCAAAGATGGGGAAAACTATTAGACTAAAGAGTTCTACCTGAAGTAGGACTGAAATTATAGCTACAGCACTTGATTTTGAGCATTGTAGAATTTTGCACAGAGACACGAGCATAATACCAATACTTTAAGATCAACATTTGCATCTTTTTTAAAGTTTTGAGAAATGACATTGACTTGCGTGTGTGTGTGTGTGTGTGTGTGTGTGT